CGTGCCGCCGCACGCGGGGATGTCCGCGGGCCTGGGAGGAGCCTTGTCGGGGGCCTCTCGCTCCCTGTCACCCACCCGCCTGCTGTCGCTGCCCCCGGACAAGCCTTTTGGCTCTAAACCTCTGGGCTTCTGGACCAAGTTCGACGTGGCCGATTGGCTGGAGTGGCTGGGCCTGGCCGAGCACCGGGCCCGCTTCCTGGACCACGAGATCGATGGCTCCCACCTGCCCGCCTTGACCAAGGAGGACTACGTCGACCTGGGGGTCACCAGGGTGGGGCACCGAATGAACATTGACCGGGCTCTCAAATTTTTCCTGGAGAGGTGATGGCTGGCCCGGGCGGACCGGCCGTCCACAGAACTGGAGCCAGCGCCTCTCACCTCCACGTTCTCCCGGGCGGGGACTCTGCCGTGACTGCGCCCTGCCCGGTCTCCGAGGCCTGAGGTCACCAGGTGACCCCTACAGGCCGGACACTTGCACCTCACAGGAGGGGGCGGCAGACGCAGGACCGCAAGGGACGCTGTGGCGCAGAGCGGAGGGGGTGGAAGGAATCAAGGGGGACTGAGGGGGAGGAGGGGACAGACAGAGCCATAGAGGGTCAGCCCCAGCCTGGCCGCATGGGGGCGACCCCAGGCCGCGGGGAATTTGGCCAGGACAGTGGATCCCAGGGTTGGCTTATAATCAGAATCAGCCGGATGTTAAATGTTCATTTGCATGTGGACACCCAGCGCACAGCTGCCCTTCCCCGCCTCTTGCACGCTCGGCTCCGTCGCACGCCTGCTCGCCCTCTCTCCGCCCCCTCAGCTGCAATTTTGCACAAATTTGCCCTCTCGCTCTCTTGCACACTGCGCCTCCCCTCCCGGCTCTTTCCCTTGCGCACGCTGTTTCTTTCCTCACGCCCCCCGCTCCTCTTGCAAACCCCTCCTCCCCTGGGGCCCTCCCTTGCACCCCACCCCCGCTCACGCTGGTCCCGTGATGCAGACACACGCGGGACCCACCTTCCCTGCCCCCCAGGGACCCCGTCTGTACTCAGCTCCTGCGCGCTTGATGTCCCGTGTCCCCCCAGGTCCGCGCACCTCCGTTACCCCTTCTTACTCGTGAACCCCGCGCTCTTGCTCTGCTGACGGCGACACCTCCCCTCGCACTGTCACTTTGGCCACACTCGCCCCCCGCGGAGCCGCTCGCGCCCGTTTCCGCCCTCCACTCGCGTCTTCCCCAGTGCTCTCCGCGGTTCCCGGAGCCTTTCTTTCCTTTTATAACGCACGCCAGACGCTGCTGCACACTCCTGGCTTCTAACTCCTGGGCGACTTTCCACCCCTGCTCCCTTTGCACACTCCCCTTCCCACGTGCACTGGGGCTGCGCTGCCCTTTCCTTCCCCACGCCCACTTTGCACGAGGGTCCCCTTTCCGGCCTCTCCTCCTCTCCTAGACCCCCTCCCTCCAGCATGGCTGCTCCCTCTCGCACGCTGCCCCTGGGGCTTGGGACTTTTAGAGCCACCCCTCCCTACTTTCCACCCCTGCTCCCTTTGCACACTCCCCTTCCCACGTGCACTGGGGCTGCGCTGCCCTTTCCTTCCCCACGCCCACTTTGCACGAGGGTCCCCTTTCCGGCCTCTCCTCCTCTCCTAGACCCCCTCCCTCCAGCATGGCTGCTCCCTCTCGCACGCTGCCCCTGGGGCTTGGGACTTTTAGAGCCACCCCTCCCTCTCC